AAGCCGCGTAGAATGGTGTCCGCCTCAGTGCCTCCGTGCGAATTAGATGTAGAGCGAACAGGGGGTGTCGAAACTGGCGTAGAACGTACCGTAATTCACATTGAATTTACTTTCCATTACAAACTCATTTATACCAGAACTCCTCAGCAATATTGTTCACGTCATGCTTGACACTTACGATTTTAACTCTGTACTCAACTCTATGCCGCTTAGAATAACAACAACCCAAAGTTAAAAAACGTGAAATACTTATATGTCCTTATGATTGCAGGTAGCTATTAAAATTCCAGCCAAGTGCTTAAATTCTCTTTGATTCCAGCTAGGAAGCAAGCAATTTTCCGTAAGCATAAATTGCTTACCGCGTAACCGGTTTTGAAAGTTAAGGATACTGGTGAAATTACAGGCACATGGGATTATCTCAGGGTGATGGGTGCAGTGGCAGTGCCTTTCAGATCTTTGTGATGCTCTGTGTGGCACTGTATCCATTGTGGACTTATTCGTCTCGTCACCGGGGATCAAAATCGTTTGTACCATTTAGTCGGTCCAATTTCACAATTTAATTATCTACCACGAGCCCATTTGCATTATTTAAAGAACTCGTCGATGATGTTCGCATCGATTATTTTTGTAATAGCGTTCATAAGTTAAAAACTAATATAGTCAATGACTAGTGTGGTTGATACGGTGATTGTTGTGTTCTTGTAGGTGCCATAATTGGTCGGTGGTGGTACCTAACTCTACATCATTCATGTGTGGAAGCAATCACGTGCAAGTGAAAAGGTTCTACATATGAACGCCCATCTTTGAGAGTAGAATTGTTTTGTGAAATTAATGTACAGTATCGAGTGAGAGCTTTGGTTTTCGCGATTGTTACACATAGGAAATGAAACTATTTTTCCGTCAACCGTCACCATGGGACCTGTAAAGGGCCCGAAACGTCGGTTCGTTTGAAAAAACAAATATACGCGATTTAAATCCGGAAAAATAGTTTCATTTCTTAATGTACAGTACTTGAAATTATGAAAATGTCTTCGTGTTTTATCAATCGAAGCGTTTTACCTTGAGCGTATGTAGATTTGAACTTATAGGACAACCATTAACGGTAATTCCACTTATTAATAAATTACACCGTGGTCTACTTACCCGAGTAACATGTTTAATTTCGGCTGCAACATTATTTAAATAATAAACAGCTATTATAGGTCGTAGTGAAGCTACGAAACGCATTGTCTTTTTTTCGAGTCTCACATAAACATAAATGTATTATGACTTAGGTGGTACACATATGTGGTATCTCTTCAATATACTTACAAATTGAACCCAAGAATGTAGTATACAAACGAACAAATAATGATATTATATGAACAGGAATAAGTGCTGTAATTAATCACGCGCCTTTAAAGGTACAGAATGCCTTCTCATTCTCAGTAAGCTGGAGTGTAGCGTGGAACACAAGCTGTTGTCCACTGCTGCGTGAACTTTTATTTATGTATATAGTATAATAAATAAATGCTTTAACATTTCGTCTAAGGTAACCATATGAAAACTTTCACAACAACTCGTCTATTCCTGCTTATAATAGCAAAGGAACCGTGAACGTATTTATGCAGGCGTCTACACACAAAACTTGAAGATCGAGATCTTTACGCTAGAGAGTGCAACGGACGAAACGAGCCTTAGCGAGCTGTATGCGCATTCTAATAATAACGTTATATCTAAAACTAAATCAACTTTACGAAGGTAATTTGTATGAGAGTAGCGAGCAAGCATTTAACCACACTCTCGTTTGATAGTAATCGAGAATGGAGTAGGCTTGCCTTCGCATTTTGCGTTCATACTCGACTTTAGAAGGCCCAAATTATATTTTTAGGGAAACAGATCAATATGTAATTAATTCCATCCTAACTGCCCCCATCAGGGCAGAAGAAGCAAAATGTTTCGTACGGCTTATGGTTCGACAACAACAACATATGAGCGAGACTCCAGCCCCGAATGTTCCCCGAAAACTAAAAAGGGATGATGCAGTCAGTTCGGGCAATTCCAAATCACATTCGCCGATAACCATCGGGTAGAATACTTGCAAACAATTTGCAAACAGGCAAATCCGTATTGGTTAACAAACCGTTTATTAGGAAATATTCGGACTGGCCTTAAAACTAACGGCGGATATTAAATAAGAATAAGTATGTATTATTCTTCTTTCGAAACTAGTTGGATGACCAAATCGTTTTAGGGCAAACACAGAATAGTAATAAAAGCTAAACAAATGTTTTTGCAACGAAAACGAAATACAAAGACAAATCGCCGACTAGTTGGCCAAGTTTTATTAATATTTATAATTTCAGTACAGAGTACTAGAAAACCGACCTCCAAAGTTCGTGGAATGACATCTATTTACCAAGTTTTATTGAAATTGGTTACCGGAAAGTGCGCAAAGCCAGATTCATCTCCTAGTTCGCTACTATACGGGACTTAACACAGGAGATAATACAATTCGGTGCTCACTGCTTAAAGTATATTTAGAGAAAAGCCCTTAAATTGGAGCATAACAAAATCAACCATTAAAATAACTGCTCCTTATAATAAAATTTAGGCGTTATTTATTAATAAAAATGAGGCTTCATGCGTGAACTTATATGGGACCACTGAGGTACTCTTTCCAACAAAAAAAGAATCATCAAAATCGGTTCACAAATTTCGAGTTATCGCGTCGAATTGAGAACCTCCTCCTTTTTGAAGTCGGTTAAAAACATAACAAAAATCGATATTTTAGCTGTAATTTTAGGTTGCTCCCTCATCTTGACAAAGTACCAATGCAACAGATCCAAAAACATGATGATGAAAAGTAAATGTGTAAAGACTTAGTCAATTATTCTGATATAATACCTTCTTTTTAAATTTTCCAAAATATTGACAAGTTAAAATAAATATATAATAAAGTTGTACAGAATGTGGCTAAACTAAATTGCGTGATGGCTACAGAAGCCTATCACACGACACACTCTTGGCCGGTATGTATTTGTGCCTGTTGATGTACGCGCACGCTCCATTTTTTGTGCATATTATGCTATTTGGACTTGTGTGAACACATAACACGCCTTACCCAAGTAGTCTACTCTTGGGAAGTCAGTATGAAACAAACACCCATAAATAGCACATGTATAAATAAAATAAATAATAAATAAATAACGCACACACTCAACATAGCCCCGTGCTAGGTAAACCCTGTGTCGCGGGTGCCATGGACACACACATAGACAACCACACAAATTACACCCAAACTCACGAGAGAAATAAATGTAAGCCATACAAACATTTCTCCCGGCCCGGGAATCGAACCTGGGACCTCTGCGTGGCATGGTAACCGTTCGGCCACGGAGGCAGTTATATGTATGTATATGATATTAAATTTTTTGTTTTATGAAATTGCTCCACTAGTTTTTTATAATTATTAATACAACGATCGAACCAGAGCGTCTTCAGCATACTAGGCCCTCTCCCAACTAAGCTACGGAACGCACCAGCAGATGTTTGTTTTTGGTTTTTAACGACTTTTTCGCCGTAGCGCCACCTGTATAAAATCTATGAAAGTCTTTCTACACTTAGCCAAGTACCTTTACAGCTACGAGCAGCTGACTAAAGATGTCGCTTTAATCATTGTGATATAAATAAGTAAATAATAATAATAATAAATCTTTACACCATAGGTCCATAGTTTGTTAGTTAGCAACCTTATACTATATTAGTAACAAATCACTGTATGGTGAATTTATGGTGTGTTATATATGAAGTGTACATTAAAGTTTTCAAAATCGAGATATGAAAATATTCAAAATACATAATATAAAATTCATGTGCTATGATCGGGGAATCATGTCGTCCTGCTATTACCCTTAGGATGGGACTGGAACTACCCCGTAGTCTGCAGAGCAGCGAGGCCGTTATCTTTCGCATGATGGCAATAAAATCATCTATATTAGCCTGCGTAAACATGCTGACGCACTGCAGAATCGGGGCAGCCCCAGCAACAGCTTAGGCATTGTTGTACTGAATTCGCAGCGCGCCGAGGACCCGCTGCGTGTGCTTGATCCACAGGGTGCACGTGTAGAACACCTGACAGTAGGCTCTAAACAATGTTAGTATAACAGGGACACTACAGCGCGCAAATCTGCGGGCCAACATATTACAGCGATATGAAGTTTATTGAGTAGGTATAACAATGTTTTCCTATAATATATAATGCACACGTATAGTTACCATTAATAACCAAGAATAATCTAACGGTTTACCTATTATTAAGCCTTAGGCTCAACTCACACTCGCGCAGAGTCGAAGCGTCGCGACGCGTCATGTTTTTCGCCTACAGCATATTCATCTCTATTTTCCCATTATTAAGGTACAAATTTGTGTTTTGCAAATATGGAATCGAGAGTCGACGCGCGACGACGTCCCTTGGGCGCCGTGAGGCGTCAGACGCCGACCACACTGTGATCCCGGCGCACTAATGCGAGCGTGGTCACGTATCGTCGCGCGTCGCCAGGAGGTGTAGTTGAAAAAGAAGACGCGACGCGACGCTTCGACTCTGCGCCAGTGTGAGTTGAGCCTTAGAGTTAATGTTCTATAATTTAAGTTTTCCAATTTTAAATGTAGTTAGCAGGAGTAGAGCTCCTTGTGAAAGAGTTCGTCCAGGGAAGTACTGCCACCTTATCTGTTTCTGTCGCCAAGCAGTAATCTGAGCTTTGCTGTGATACGGTTTAAAAGGGTAAGGGTGCTGGTGAAATTACAGGCACACGAACTTGTCAACTATGTTTCATGGTATGGGGGTTTCCGTCAGATTTTTGCGATTGAAAGGTCTGCGACTGCAACTGCACGACTTGTTCGTCCCGTCACTTGGTGGTCATAAAAAATAAATAAAAAGGTTTGGTGAACTAAAAAAGATTTCTTGGCCCCAGTCATAAATGACACACAGTTCATATTTCAAGTGAAACTTTATTTTGTACTCAATATTTCTTTCGTTTAACGTTGTCTTCTGTCGCACTATCGTCGGACTTTTCACGTTTAATGTCGTCGTATCGAAAAGAAAAATCTTCCTTAGCTCTGTCATTGTTGTGTTTGCGTTTTCTTTCATGATGCTTGCCATTTTCAGACTTTCTGCGACGATCTTTACATCTATTTGTAGGATTCGAATTTGGTTCACTTCTTTCATTATCGTAGTCCCTACTAGAGAAATAATATTCTTTGTAATGCAGCCTTTGTCTGTCCTTATACTTGCTATCATTTCGATATTTAGATTTGGACTGTTCGCAGCTTTTGCCTTGGTAACTCTTACTACTATGACCTGTAGAAAACTCCTCTGGTTCCTTTTTTATTTCGCGGTCTAATTTGTACTCGTAACTTTCGGGTTTCGATTGCCTATGATCATCTCTGTCTTGCTTGTGACGGCGTTTATGTTTAATATCGTCATGTCTCTTTCTATCCTCAAAACTGTCATTTCTATATCTGTTATCATAGTGTTCTCTTCTACTGTCCTGATGCTTATGGTTTGGTCGTTCGGAAAAAATGTCTTTAGAATTTCTTGTATATCTGTTATCCACATACACGTGGTTTGTGCTCTTTGATATTTCTTTTCGATATGAAGAATTGTTTTTAGTCAACGTCGTATTTGTAACTCCCTGGTATTTAGTGGTATCGTGATTGTCATAATTTACGCAATTTTCTGATAGTTTATTGGATTGATTTACATCTAGTGCTTCGCAGTAAAAATCCATCTGCAATTGAAAATCATCACTTTCAACTTAAATAGGTCAAGACAACTTTTTGTCCAATATCGTGGTTAGTCGTGGTAAAAATATTATGATAAAATTATGTAAGCAGCCCATAGTACCTGAGTTTTAATGACATCGCGAAGCACATCCGAGTACTTGCTGGTCCGCGCAGCGGTGCGGTACTTTGTGCGGCGTCGCTTCATGTCGCGCAGCTCCGCCAGCACCTCCACGCGAGACCTCTCGCGCGCCGGTGTCACGTCGTCGCCACTGTGGGAACATTTATTACGAAAAAGTCAGCTTCAGAAACTAAATTTCAATAAAACGACAGAAAAGGTGATGGACAAATAAAAAATAACAACCGAAATGTGGTTATAGCAATATGGGACGTCCAGTATTGAAATTGGTACACATTATCGTAAAAGTTGCGGGCCATGGATGGGTAAGGCTAGCGCTAAATCGTGGCATGCACCACGGTTGTGGATGACGATGATGATGGCAGAAAATACGACAGAAAGTACGTTATAAATCAATTTTGTCAATTTCCAACAAATATAAAAATATAACATAAGAAGTGGATAGATGTACCCTGGGAGAGTGAAGTCAGACAGTTGATGCACAGTCGGCGCGACGTTAGCGACGGCGTCGTGAATTGCCCGCCGCTCATCCGCCGTGAAGGAACTCTGCAGTCTCTCCAATGTAAGTGGCTGAACATCCTCGATTCCTGCTCCTTTGAAGTGGTTAAGGAACCTTCTTGGTTACATAGTTTTAGGCGCAAAAGGCAAAAAAAAAATGAAAATAACGATATGTTAAGTCAAGTAAGAACGATAATACAGATCCCGAAATAATAATATTAAATAAATTACATTGCACCATAGTGTCTTAAAAAGTAATAAACAGCTTAATTAAGCTTTCAAAGGATACATCAAAGGATACACATTTCCAAAGTCACAAAAACTGGAAAAAGTGTAATAAATTAATGACTGTTACCTCACACTTGCAATATACATAATTATAAAAATTAAAGAAAACTTTTATACCTCTTTTAAATAATGGGTCACATTTTGCTGCATTTTCTATTATTTGGTTAATGTCTTCTTTACCTGAAAGCAAGATTCCACATAACTGGTCGTAAACAACAAACATTTGATGTGTATGGTTTATGTATTTCAAAATGGACTTAACAAGTTGTTCATAAACTCAAACAAGTATTATTTTAGTTTGTTACTAAGTGCTACACACTTGGTTTACATTAATATATTACACAAAGTTAATACACATTATAAAAATAATTGTGATGACCTCAGTGACCTGTCTTCGTGCTAGTTGAAGAAGTCCCAAGTTCGATTCCCAGTAGGGCCAATTTAAGAAGTGAAGAGTAAGTTTGTCTAAATTGGTTTGGTATGCATGTTCTGGGTAGTATCCCAGAGTAAATTTTTGTTGTTCTGGTGCTCATAGTGCAGGTAATTTTCTAGTTTGCGACAAGGAAATTGGTGTGGTTGCCTAACACAATTATACAGTTCCAGGATCACATTATGAGACAACCGAGAAATCTGTCATTCATCTTACAGACACACAGTATCCTTAACGATTTTGGTACTGTAGTGTCCCAGAGCCACATGGAGTCTCTTACACGCAGATGCATTTTGATCCACCATTTAAAAAAACATAAAATTTTTTTTTAAAACATTGCCAGTGGTTATTCTCCCATTACATAGACTATAAAATACAAAGCAAACAAACCATGTCATTGTAAAAGAAAAACCTACTAAGTTTAACAAGTGTAGAAGCATTGTCATCAGGTGGATCTGGCAGTAGCCTATGTTCTTGAGTATAGCCATAACTGTTCAATAGGCACCTGGCTTCATGGCTACCCTTTAAGGTCTGCGGCACTCTGTGACTCGCATTGTACCTGCATGCTGCTAGAGGAGTACTCTGAAAATAACACATCAAGTAAGTGCTTTTCTATACAAGGAATCGCCGACGGATTACTGTAAAACTGTGTTTCATATTATACAAGTAATTACACGGAAGCACGGCGAAGTGTTTTTAGGAATTGCGTCAAATGTTAGTCAAACCTCAATGAAGAAAAGATGTACACTCATGTGTGCACTGATTCAATAATTATATCACTAATAAAATATCACTAATCTTATTGTTGGAAAACGGTAAACAAACAAACCTCCAAAAGACGTTTTCTATCCCACTGTAAGCTTTGCAGAATCATCGTCACTTCTTTGTCAACATCCTCGATATAGGCTTCTATCTGTGACAAATATTTTACCCTCGCCTCCATGGTTCTCTTATCGTAAAAGTGAAAGGCAAAAAACAAGCTTATTCGGTGTCCCGATTTCGTAATACGCACAAATTAGTGAGGTGTTTAATACAGTAATACAGTCTTAGAAGATGGAAAAAATTATAACATTATAATAAAGTAAGGACAAGATCTGTGAACAGAGTTTATCCATTGACATTTAACAGCTGATCAGTGTTGCCAGATTTTTGTGAAGTTAATTCGCCGATTTATGTATGTTAAGTAGCCGATATTCGCCCAAGTTATAAAATCCCTAAAAATCAAGAAAAATAATTTTACAATTGTGTTTGCTGCCGGACACACGTCGAAATACTCATCAAGCCCACAAATGAGTCCATTCTCCACAAAATCCCCAATAAAATTACTAATTCTCCAGATATTTTATTAAGAAGCCTAAAATAGCCTTTTCTTATTTCCGAAGCCGAGTCGCCGACCACTGTTTTAATCGCCGCGCGACCTCTCGAAGTAGCTTAAATGGCGAAAAGTCGTCTAATTTGGCAACAGTGCAGCTGATTTTTGGAGCTTCTTTTTTTTTCTTTCGTTCCGCATGGAACATGCGAAGGTCAGAGACCATATTATAGTTTCTTTTTTTCTTCTGTACAAAATATTTAAATCTCGCTTTTCTTCTAGGTGGCTTTTAGGTAAACAAGTTTATTTCTTTATTTCATGCTAAATAACACTGCAAAAGACATTTCTAAATGTAGATGAGCTTCGAAATTATATTTTTCCAATTTTTCAAATATATCGGGAATATTTTTCTGGAAAAATTTCCACCATTTGAAATTTTTCGGAAAATTACCCAACAGTAGAATATGACAAACAGCCGTTATTGCCATGTCTACATTGAAGTATAAAAAAAAGTTTTGACAGGGAAATTCTTTTTTGTCTGTGACCAACACGGTACTGTAAGTACGTGTGCTTTTTTGCAAAATTACCCTGAATGTTTTTAAGAAAATGGCAGATTTAGAGGTAAATAGATGATTAATATTCTCCACAACAGAGCAGCTTAACGGGCAGTAATTTACAGGTATAATTTTTTTTTCAGATATCGAAGAAATTAAAAGATATACCTATTAGAATTCAAAGCGCAAGTTTGAAAGAGAGGCGCAAGGTGGTTGAGGAAATTCTGGATGTATTGTCATCCTCAGGTGAGTGGAGGCTGTTTGCTTTATTACGTAGGTGTCAGGGTTACGGCACTGCGCGCAGATGCTGTACATGTGGGATAACTAGGGTTATTTTCGCCCAGCTGTATTGATCGAGGGGGATGTTTTGGTGCGACTGCATTCACCCTCGCCGGGTTCTCGCTGTCTATAGATGCAGTATTGATTACCCCAATTGCTGGTTGTATTATATATATTTCCTACACAAGTATGTAACAGATACTATGCTTAGTTACATGTTATGTGAGACCTTTTTGACTATATGGTGTTTGTCCTATTGATTTCACATGCATGTGATTTGTGAATGATATTGTTATATACTTCGTTACAATCCATTTTGAACAAAAAGTAAACAAACAAAGTCACTGACCTGACCATCGACGGTTTAGTGATGGCCAATTGTAACGCCAACTACAAATCGATTAATTAATTGAATGAATAGATTTGTTCAATTAAGTCATACTAGCGGTTTTCCTTACATAACCTATATAAGCATATTTAAAATTTCAATTTAAATCCTCTTTCAAATCCTTACAGATACTTGTTCAATTGCGATTGAAATGTTCGATTTAATAATCAATTACTAAACTTTAATTGATTGAACCAAATGTTTTTTTTCGAACAGCACTATGCAACCATAGGCATGTCATAGAAGTATAGATGAATATTAACCTCACTTTTAGACTACCATTTCTCAAATACGATTTTACTATGTTATACAAATGAATATTGTTGAAAAAAGTGATGATATATCAAGTCGAAATCTTGGAAATATACATAAAAGTGTTACTTATTCGATTTATTGAGTGATTGCTTTAGAATTTTAACCAAAGAGGTTTGTTTACTTTTTGTTCAAAATGGATTGGTACAGACTATTGTACTATCCTCGAGATAAACAAAAAAATATGTTTTGGAATTTAGAAATTACAAGTCTCTGGAGGAGGCCTATGTTGAAAGACAAGCTGATGATGTGAAAGTAAGTTAATTACAGAAATATGTTGTACACATAATAATGAATTATTAATCTTCATACTGTTTATGTTAAGTATTACGATTGTAAGATAAATAGTTGGTTTTAAGCATCGAGCATATAACCAGAAATAGAGACAATATAAGGGCCATATATTCCTGGTAACACATTAGCGATACAGCTCTTATAAATATCAACTCTCATTTGCACTGAAATATAGATAGGCCAACTACTGACCTGTGTGTACATCTCCGTATATTCCAAAAAATATTCTGTATTTATTGTAATAAAGATAATATCTCTAACAATGCCATGCTGTTCTATTCGGTGGTGTGGGTAAAACAGCAAAACATCTAATTACAAAACAAACGGAATCATGTTTCATCGATAATTAAATATGTAATTTTGCAATTTTCGTCCATATAGCAAAGCTCAAGTTAACTGGTCGATTTGAAGTGAAACAATTGACGACACCCGTCAATTGTCACATTAATGTTATGGCAGAATAGTTTTCAAACAAATTAAATGACATTTTGTCTCTATTTCTGGTTATATACTCGATGGTTTTAAGTATACGAAACTAAGCAGTAGTGGCGCCAAAGTGTGGGAAACAATGCACAGAGGCTGGTAAGGGTTTGTTTTGACCTTGCCGGCACTGGCTGCATGTTCAATTGACATGGTGTCTCACGCAGAGTATTACAAAATATTAGAGGCAGTATTTACTTTAGAGAAAAACATTTAAAAATAAGATAGTATTTTTTTACATATTTAGTATGGGTGTCAGCTACTCATCTGTCTCTTTAAATATTTTTTCCATTCAACCTGTCACTCTGTATAATATACTAAACATTTATGTGTTTACTATAGCACTGTACACACAAGAATGTAGAATTGCACAATGATATAAATTATTATTTTGCGAAATAAATTTTGAATATCGAATTCATGTTTTATTGGAAACAAATAGATAATTAAAAAATAGCATTTAGCTGACTGAGTTCGAAGCAAAAAAACTTCTTTGAATAATATCACATGTTGTAAAAATAATTATAGATTTTTTCCCACATGCACTAAAATATGAACCACACCATCCAGATATCAACGAGGCAGTGGTCAAATTTGTCTGCAAATGCATTACACTCACTCTGCATCGGTACCGAGATACCACGTCGCAATCCTATGTGAGAAGCCTGCTTGCTTGTTTGGTAACCAAGCACCGAGAATGGACCCTCAAGGCATTCTTACCTTTGCTACTGGATATATCAGAGAGTCTCAAACGTACCAGTACATCGTAAGTTTAAGAAAGAAATTACTTCTACAACCTATGCACATGGCGTATTTTGTACGCGTCGACGCGTTTTAACACGATACAAACGCGTTGCCGTAAACCTTTCCCAACGGTCGCAAATTCAACGCGCGTCATCTGCGCCGCAAACGCTGTAATTTTGATAAGAGACAGTTTTAATTTTAGTTTTGTTTGTTAATTTCAGTTAGTTTTTGAAATGAAGCAACCAAAAAGATACAAAAGCATGCACAATGCGTCTTTTTTAACATATCGTAAAATAGATTTAAGATAAATCACTTAAGTAACTGTACTAAGTTACCACTATTCGTTTTTGGGTGTTTATTTTGCATGCATTGCACTAGATTCGAGGTGTGAAAAGGATACAAAATCACAGCAAAAGTTGTCTTCAACATGACATTTTAAGTGTAAACTCTAGTGAAGTATTTAAGCTTCTTGCTTGCAAAGCGATGATGAATTGATTCAAACGCATCAATCTACATTTTTGACCCTCTATGGCGCCGTAATCTGGGTTTCTAAAACGCGGTTCGTCGGTGCGTACAAAATACGCCGTGTGTGTAGGATCTTAGTAGATTTGTAGTTAATTAAATGTTTTAAATGAACATGTCAAGCACAAGTTATTAGTATCTTTGTGTATCGCAAACACATTTTTTTTCTTGTCACTAATGTTAACCTTAAAACTTACCCAAAGTTAAATAACATTAATCTTAAGTGCATTTGTTTTATCTGATATCTGGCCCTATCGATATTTCTGGCCTTATTGGAAAATTGTGTATTAAGTTGATTATGGTCAGTATTCATTTTAGGAAATGATCATTGCATAATTTTTTCACAGAAAAGGCACGTGTCTCTGTGGATACTCAGCCCTACGTTGGTCTACAGTTCTTGCTGATGGGGCTTTGAAAGTCCCTGATGATGAAGCAGTGGATTACAGGGCCTTGGTACTGGCCCAAGCTAATCTACTGGCCGTTGTTACCGCTCATGGTGACAGAAGGTTGAACGAGAAGGCTTATTCTACAGTGAATATTAATACTTTATATTATACTTTCCTTAAGTCCCAAATGTAGCTGGTTAGTTAGATATTTTTAGTACATTATTAACCATGGCGACATTTATTCATGTATGTACGAGGTTCTGTTTGTTTACACTCACTGTAAACAAAACAATCGTAGCTTAACTTAGCTTTTATTTGTGTTTTTGTAAGCACATATTTGAGTTTTTTTCAGGCAATTTCAATTTGAGGGTGTGTATCTGATAAAAATAGCTAGATTATTTAAAATTTATTTTAATTGTAGCTGCACACGTCATGGGTCGGCATTGGCTCAGAACGACTCAAGAAGTGGTCAGAAGTTCTTCTCGCGCAACCAATGGACAGCGGCCCACATGTCTGCGTTACCTTTTCTGCACTTTGCCGTCATTCCTATAGTGTTCTTGAGCATAAGGTGAGGAACAGAAAAATGGACTTAAAATAAAATTAAAATTGGCGCCCAATTTGGAACTCGTAATATTGTAACATTTGTAATTTTTGTTACAGACAAAAATTTTAGAAAGCTTCATAAAAAGTCTGATCAGTGTGAAGATTCGTCCAAATTCTAACTACATCAAAGGCTGCGGCGATCTGCTGCGCCAGCTCCAGAAATCTGAGGTCCAGGAGACTCTTCTACCGGCCCTGCATAAAGCCATGTTGCGTAGTCCGGAAACCATCATTCAAGCCGTGGGGGAAGTCGTGGCGAACCTGAGTGTCCACTTGGACGGCATCATCGTCGACATCGGAAAGGGTTTGATCGGTGGGTAAAAGATTGGCGCCCAACGCGGGACTAAGTGGGGCGTGGCTATGAAATGAAAATGTTTCGTCGGAAGCTCGGAGATAACTCGGTGTACTGTTCGTAAATTGCTCGCAGGCAACCTGCACTCGAAAGACGAGTGGGTCCGGTCGGAAGCCGCGGGCGCGCTTCGGCGCGTGGCGCAGCGCTGCTCCGATCCCGCGGCGGCGCGCGCGCTGCTGTCGCACGCCTTCGCCGAGTACAACGGCGCCAGCGGGAAACTCACCTCCAGCGAGGACAAGATCGCCGTCCTCAATGTGCGTGCAGGCGTCCGCTCGAACGCGCTGCGGCGCGCAGCCGCCTTACGACCGCGCCGTCTTCCGTGCAGGGAGTCGGCACCCTGAGCGAACTGGCCGTGGCCGCGGAGGAGCTGTCGCGGCTGTTCGCGGAGGCCGTGGCGCAGACGGCGCGCGTGCTGGACAGCGAGTCGCACGAGCGCACGCTGTGCGGCGCGCTGGACGCGCTGCGCTGCTGGCTGGCCCGGCTGGGGGGGCCGCTGCCCGACAAGATACTGGACGTGTTTAAGGTCGGTCGCCGCGTTTCGTTTCCGGCGCCAGTCTGCCGGTGCTGACCGTCGAACTAGATTTGATCAAATCCTTGCTTATTCACCGAGGAGTTAGTGTTCAGAGCGAGCACTGAACGAATAAATGGTGTGTCCGCTCGGCACGCGTGCAAATCAACACGAAACAGAATTATAGTTATTTAATTGTGCCATTTGTATTATGTCGTTTCCGTTGTCATGACTCTATTAAAGAAAAGTTACTGAAACATTTATTGTGTTCAATGCGCAATGTTTTCCTTTTGCAGAAAAACCTATCCGCCAAGAGCACGACACAAACGGTGCGGTGTGCGTACGTGTCGCTGGTGTCCCACGCCCTGCAGCACTGTAAGGCTGCGCCGGCGCAGCGCGACGCGCTCGGCCCAATGCTCACCAAGGCTGTGGAGAAGGCCGTGCAGCAGCCGCTGCAGGTTGGCGATGACCTCGATACCTATTGACAGTTTTTTTGTTTTGGTTCTGCAACGTTTCGCGGCGCCCGAAGACGTGACATTTATACTCATGGACCTCTCAAATCCGATTCCTCCTTCCTCAGCATCTGGTAGTAAGCGAAGGCATCTGCGCCATGCTGGGCCTGGTTCTGTTGGATGAGACTCGCGAGCTGCCCGGCAAGACTGCGGTGTGGGCTGCTCTTACGCATGTTGACAAACAGGTGCTGCTGCACGATCGCGTGCTGTCTACCGCCTCGGACGACGGTGAGTTCGATGCCGCGCTTGCACCAAATCGCATACAGGACTCGTTTACATCCTTGCTCTGTCACGCGTTGCCATACTTTTCAACCACAAATAATTACATCGCTTACCTCTTTTACAGTGTTAATACAGGTAGTGCTGTTGTGCAGAATAGTTTTAGAACGATACGAAAGCGTAACCGGCGACGGCAACTCCCCCGTGTACCGCGCGTTAGTACTCGCGTCGCTATCGACCAGCAAGCCGGTGCGAGCGACGGCCCTGAAGGAAGTTAAAAGCGCGCTAGCGGACAAGTCGAAGGCTCAGGTCGCGAAAAATTTGATAGCGAAGCTGAACGAAATATTAGAAGAAGGCAGGATATTCAGCGCGAAGGAAAAGAAAGACGGCGCTGAGGAGAGAGGCGCCGAAGTGACCGGCAAGATGTTGCTGGACTGCGTGCAAGCGTTTTGCTCGTGCAGGGGTAAGTCGTCCTCTCGCTCGAGTGGCGTCCTGCAAGCGGTGGAGACTCACCTCACTCGCCGTGTCCTCCCGTAGACTACCCGCCGGAAGACGCGCAGACGCTGGCGGTGGCGGTGCTGCCGGCCAGTCACCACCCTCTGGCCGCTGCCGTGCTGCGGCGCGCCTGGCTTAAGGTCGTGGCCTTCCTGCGCCTCGACGCCAAGAAGCTCGTCGCGCTATACGCTAACTCGCTCAACAACACCTACATCGCTGGCTTCGCGCCCACTGAGGTGAGTGCGGCTACGGCCTTAGTACTGCGTCATTCGTCGTCGCGGGCCCGTGACGATTGCGTGGCGAGGAGCTCGCACCTTTCAATTCGAACACATTGACCGTGACAAGCGAATGACTTCGAAACTCCTAAAATGTATTCCCGACGTGTGTGTATCAGAACTGAACTGAAATAGCAATACGGGAATATATTGAGCTTCTATTAGACTGGGACTACGCGGATTCCACTGAAGTTCCTTTAAACAGTAAGTTGTTCCAACAGAACAATAAATATAGTTGAGGTGGTTAGTTAGCGTACGATGCGTGCCAACTGTAGGTCTCGAAAGACCTATCAGAGCTCAGTCCGCTATTTTCGCTTTGTATGGTACGGTTGTGTCATTCTTTCGTGCAAATTCTCTAAAATCCTACTAAAATGCCTTATTGTGCTGTTTTGGAGTGCAAAAATGATAACCGCCAAAAATATTTCCCGTAGTGGTATTGCATATCATCGGAAAGTGTTATTTTAGTATAATATTTATCGAAACATTACAAACTCCAATTCGTCGTAGTTCAGAAGTTAAACGCTAGATGGCAGCACATAGGGTAAAGTTTATATTAACAATCCAGAATTTGTTATTTCTTTTTACATTTGAAACTACGACCAATCAATATCAAGATTTTGTAGTGTTTCAAATTAAGAACGTGTGAGTTTTGTCGACACCGGTTCTGATAGTAATTGAGGCCTTCCGTGATTGTTTCAATGTCCTACGTTAACTAGACAATAATAAATTCACAGACGATGTCAAACGTAGTGGCCACATTGGTGGCGACGAACTCGGAGGTGATTGCAGGCAGCGCCATTCAGTGCGCGCTGGAGACGCTGCAGGACCCGGAACTGCTGCGTGTCACGCGCGACGAGTACTTCACCTATCTCATGCCTGAAGGCGAGCTCTACGACAAAAGCGTCATTCCGGGGTTAGTGGTTTCGTGGCGCTGACACGTACATAGCGCACAAAACTCACATGGAGTTATTATTATAATTCGTTTCAATCGATTCTACATGAATGGTAAACAAACAGGTCGTTGACCTGGCCATGGACAGTTTAGTAATGACCAGTTGCACTGCCAATTATAAATTAATTAATTAATTGGATGTTTCGATTTGTTGAATGTTTAATTTAAATCCTTGCACTTATTTGTTTGGTTCAGACAGAAATTACCAGTTTACTAATCAGTTACTAAAATTTAAATTTGCACTATGCAACCATAGATCATCCATAATTAACTTTTTTAAATACAATTTTAAGAAGTTAGATTATTGAAAAAAGTGATGAGGATTCAAAATATACGTGAAAGTGTTATTTATCCCATTTATGGAGTGATTGCTTAAGAATTTCAACGAAACCGGTTCGTTCATCTTTTGTCAATTTTATAGAATGGATCGAAATAAACTACAGATTTTTCGCTAAATCGGAAGATGAAAGTGAATGTGTATCTAACACGTGACAGCAACGAAGACACGAGGGAGATGAACCTGAAACGCGAGAGCAAGGCGTACAGCTACAAGGACCAGCTGGAGGAGCTGCAGCTGCGGCGCGAGCTCGAGGAGAAGAGGCGAAAGGAGGGCAAGGCCAAGGAGGTTTCGCTCACCGCGAAGCAGAAGGAGGCCATTAAGGCTCAGCTGGCGAAAGAGGATCTCGTCAGGCAGAGGCTCACCGCGGTAAGATCTCGTCGTTTCGCTCGCTCGCGAAACGAAATGGTCACGGACAGGAATGCAACGGCGAGTTTGAGTTCCAGCTGAACTCCCGCGCGGTGGCGGCGGTGAAGCTTCTGGCCGCCGTGCAGCGGGGCTCCCCGCTGGCGCTGGCGCTGGCGGCGCGGCGCGTGGTGGAGGCGCTGCTGGCGGCGCTGCGCAGCCCGCTGGCCGCGCCGCTGCTGCTGCCTGCGCACGCGCACCTGCGCCGCGCGCTGATGCCCGCGCACGCCGTCGTGGGGGACACCGTCGCCAGGATCACCTTACGGTCGGCCCTTTTCCCGGCGCCCCCGCGACTCGCTGGCGTCGCTCGTGACGTTGGAAACCCGCTTCGCGCAGGCTCCACAAGCCGCAGTGCGACCTCGACCCCAGTTGGGAGGAGGAAGACCTGACGAAGGCGACGCTCCGCGCCATCAACGCGCTGCACTCGGCCACGGTCGCCGCCAGGGCCGCCGCGCGGGCCGCGGCCGAGGCGAGGGCCGCCGCCAACGTCGCCGCGCGCGAGAAGGCCGCCGCCAGAGCCGCGGCCCGGGCCGCCGCCATCGCCGCCGCCGAGGAGGCCGACGAGCCCGCGCCCATGGACAGCGAAGAGGAAAGCGACACCGAAGAGGAGCAGGACGAGGACGCAGACGGCCGCGGCAAGGGTCCCGGCGTCGCCCCCAAAGAGCACATGTTGACGGGCCCGGGCTTCTGCTACGCGTTCCCGTTGCTCAGGCTGGGTAAGCCGCCGCCGCGGGGCCGCGAAGCCGCGGGGCGGGGCGCCCTGACGCGTGGCCGTTGCAGGGCTGAGCGGCAAGGCGCTGCTCGACGCCGAGCCCACCGTGCTGCGCGGCCTGGCCACCATCAGCGAGCACGCGGCGCAGCGCGGCGGCGGCGGCCCGCGCGACCTGCTGAGGCCCGAGCTCTTCCCCATCGACCGCATGTTCCGGCTGCTCATCGACCTCATCGGTGGGGCCCGCCCTCGCGGCCGCCTGGGCCCGCGGCGCGGCCTCTGAACGACGCGCTCTGCCCGCAGGCGACACGTCCGGCCGCGTGCAGATCGCGTGCGTGCGCGCCCTGCTGGAGACGGCGCAGTGCGCCGCGGGCGGCGACGTCTCGCTCGACGACGTGTACTGCCTGCTGGCGGGGCTGCAGAGTCCCAAGGAGGTCGGGCGCGCGGCGGCGGGCACGGGCCCGGCTGGGGCGGCTCGTAACGGGTGGCGTGTCGCAGGCGGTGCGCGACGCGGCGCTGCGGGGCCTGCTGTGCGTCGCGGACTGCCTGCCCCGGCACCTGGAGGACCCCGACAACGCGCTCGACCTCACCAAGCGGCTGCTCCTCGCCACCTTCGACGTCTCCGAGGACAACAGGTAGGTTCGTGGCGAGCGCCGCGGCTCGGCCGGCGCCGGTGACCGCCCCGTCCGCGCAGGCGGCTGGCCGCCGAGCTGTGGGCCCGCCTGCCGCTGGCGGCCACGTGGAGCCGCGAGGCCGAGCTGCTGGACGCCGTGCGCGCCGAGGTCATGCACCCCGCGGAGCCGCTGCAGCGCGCCGCCGCGCACGCGCTGGCGCACCTGGTGGCGCGCGACGGCCACGACCCCGCCGTCGTGCTGGAAGCGCTGCAGGAGACCTACGACTCCAAGCTGCCGGTGAGCCCCGCCCCGGAGTCCGGCCGCCCCGCCCCGCCGCCCGCCGCCGCCTGACGGCCGCTCCGCCCGCAGATGATCCCGGCGCGGCTGGACCAGTTCGGGCACGTGGTGGAGAAGGCCGTGGACGAGTGGGGCGCCCGGCGCGGCGTGGGCTTCGCGCTGCGCGCGCTGGCGCCGCACCTGCGCGCCGACCAGGTGGCCGGCGCCATGCGCTTCTTCGTGGACCGCGGCCTGGCCGACCGCCACGACGACGTGCGCGCCGAGATGCTGGACGCCGCCATGGCCATCGTCGAGCTGCACGGGAAGGTGCGTCGCTCGCCGGCTCGCGCGGAGCCGACCGAGCCCGTCCTTAGCGAGCGTTCCTCTGCCCGCGCAGGACACGATCAGCAGCCAACTGCCGGTGTTCGAGGAGTTCCTCGACACGGCGCCCAAGTCGAGGGGGTTCGACGCCGTGCGACAGTGCGTGGTGCTGCTGGTGGGCTCGCTGGCGCGGCACCTGGAGCCCACCGACGCCCGCATCGAGCCCATCACGATGCGCCTCATCAGCGCGCTCAACACGCCCAGCCAGCAGGTACCTGCGCGTGCGCGCCGAGCTTTTCGCGTACACTTTTCGTGTAGCGAACTGCGTACTGGAGAATTTCATTTCTAAATTTAAAATTTACGAAACAAAAACGACATGCATAAACCCGCACAGGTTTTTCGCACATTGTGCTATCGTCATCTACACGATATAAAAATTAGACTTCGTATTAAATATTATGAAGATAACCATTGACCTATCAATAAATGGACGTCGGGTCTAAAAATTGTCCAAAGTCAAAGTCGAAGACTATTTATTCCTTAGGTAAAATAAATTTACACTTGAAAACGTCACATTTAAACTACTGCTCGTTCACTACGCTGACCTCCCTGAGAAGAACGAGCAAGAAACTCTAGGGTATGCTCTTTTCAAATAAACTTAAATGCTATGGAATACACTTTGAATCAAATTTGTGTGGATTCTGGAGCCATGTCGTCTTTCCATACATCTTTATCTAACACGTAGTCTTCAATTTTGTAATATGATTTTTCGATCAAAATATTTTTAATGTACTTTTTAAACATAGGAAATGTAAACTTAATATATGCTCCGGAATCTTATTGTAAAAACGTATACAGTTCCCCATAAAAGAGTTGTTTACCTTGGTTAAACGAAATCGTGGTACCATGAGTTTGGACTTAGCTCTAAGGTTAATATTATGGATATCTTCTTTCTTATTGAAATCCGTCCGAACCATTAAATCGTAAACAGAGCATCACCCGCGCGTCAGTTTTCGTTTGCTCGACTGACAGCGCGCTTGCCGATCATGCCGTACTATATAATATCATCAAATCAGCCGGAAAACGTCCACTGCTGAACATAGGCCTCCCCTAAAGATTTGCAGACCAACCGTTCGGACGCGACGTGCATCCATCGATTTTCCGCCTCCCTTACCAGGTCATCCGTCCATCTAGTAGGGGGCCGTCCCCCTGAATGCCCTCCGGTTCGCGGTACTGTATAATAAACAATTTGTAAATATTTTTCTCCGGAAAAAAACGGCTATTTGAAAACTTTCGGAAAATTACTCAGAAGTAGTAATAACACTAATAAGTAACAAAATATGATTGTACTGGTTTTACGGTTTCGCGTTCAAAACTCCTAAAATACATTTGCCCGAAATAGTGTTTGCTCGAATTTTCATAATCCCAAATGTATTTTTTTTTATTACGAAACAAACCTACGGTTTAATCTTTACCTTCATCGTTTCTTTGTGATGAGCAAAGAAAATTCCCTGAAAGCATAACGTTTTTGTTATAAATAGGTTTCGAGATTATGAAAATTTGAGTTTACGTAAACAACTACAGCAACAAGTTGGAATCTAGTAATTCGAAACATCCAATACATTTCTTATAGCACGTCATAGCTAACAAATAGAGAGACGCAGTTCTTTTCACATTTATAATAGTTATATGTATATACAATGTGTTCATTCGCATTTTCGCCATATTTACAGCGATCATTCGATATCCGAAACTGAACCGAAGTCACTAAATATCGAAAAAATAAATCCGAAATTCTTATTTATTTATTTAATTGCAATTGTAGCAGCCACAGACGTGCCAGAATGTCTAACTTCTTCCGACATTCAGGTACGTCTTAGTGCTAGCAAAAGTAACAACCATGCCTTGTGAATCAGCATAAGACACTCGTACCAAATTAGTATAAATAAGTAGCTCAAGCAAAATATACATATTAATATACAGTCATTTACCAACCCACGACTCGTCTATCATCCTCAACCCAACTACCATGGTGAAGTGGTGACCACCAACACCTTTTCACCTGCGCCATGGTAAAGCAATAAACATCGATTCACAACCACCTGAACCTGCTTTATCCAAGCTACTAGGTTCACCAGGTGCAGGTTGCATTACCATCAAGTGCATTTGCGTGACTATTCTTGTGGCACGATGTGGAACGTTTAGTTTACGCAGAGGAGATTATAATTGCGCGCAAAAATCGTCTCTGGTTTCAAAGTTGTGAAGTCAAATCTGCTAAGTTGAAACGAAACTCACTTGGTATTTCCGGTGTGGAGCAGTTGTGGAGCTAGGTACTTCTAGCAATACTTTCATGTAACCTAATGCGGGTAAGTACCAAATCTAAGTTGCAAAAAAGCTTTTTTCAGTCAACTTTTCTAATTAACGTAAAGAATTAGTAAATTATAACAATACTAGTACATATCGAGTTCTTAGGTTTTCGCGATTGTTACACATAGGAAATGAAACTATTTTTCCGGATTTAAATCGCGTATATTTGTTTTTTCAAACAAACCGACGTTTCGGGCCCTTTATAGGTCCCATGGTCACGGTTGACTCAGGAGTCTTCAACCAGTTATGTCTAATATTAATGCAAATCACCATTGACTTACAATTCGATTCGAATGGACGTCGGGTCCGCGCTAAAAAGTGTCCGCACTTGTAAGGCGCTAAAATCGTATACAGAGCGCCAACTCCGCTTTAGTCTTCATTTGTTCTACTGACAGCGCGATACTGCGATGACATTACAATTTAAATTTCGAATAGATTGACTTGGGCCTGTTTTTTCGTGGTTTTTGTATTAGACCCGTCGTCCATTTATTTGTAAGTCAATGCAAATCACCCTATTTTTTCACTATAGTTACAATATTTATTAATTAAATACCTTATTTTTAATTTTACAAAGAAAACATTCCAATTTATGCTATATTAAGTTTTCCAAATTATTTTATTGAATGAATTTTTCTTAAGTTAATTTATTATGTTCAAATACTAGTACATTTATAATCATAATTTAAAAAATAGGTAAATAAGCAACCAAGAAAGATTACGTATCACGTGCAAACGATTTAGGGACAATTAAGCTAAGCTTTGCTAAATACTATTAACCAGAATATTGAACAGAATTTTTTTTAAATATTTTTAGATGATTTACCATTATTTCTTTTTAATTTCTTAAATATGGCGAGAATGCAAGTCAACACTCTGTATAATTAGCACAATTCTTTATTATTACTTTGAGTGAACTTGTACAAAATCCAACATAATATTTATATATAAATTAATAAATATTGACTCTTGTCTTCAAGTAGTTTTCACTAGAAGCTAAGTATGTTGCGTTTTGTTAAGTTTCCTGTAGAAGCTGAATATGGTGAATTTTTGGGCCTTTAAATTGTAGCAAGCAAAATTAAGCAGTATGCAATGACGTTACCTACAATTTAAATTAAATGTCTTAGTTTTTTTATATTTCTGTGTGACTTACAGGTGCAAGAGGCAGTAAGCAACTGCCTGCCGTTCCTGGTGAGCTCGCCGGCAATTGAGAGCGACATCCCGCGCATCATGAACAAGCTCATGAAACAACTGCTCACCGCGGAGAAATATGGCGACAGGAAGGTAACTAATCAACCGCTTCATGTCTAATCTGTCGTTAGTGCAATATTATGCAAATATGCCAAAGTGACGAAGACATTGTGACATCATCAGACCGGTGAGACTCCTCAAAATTTCAAAACAATAGCAGAAAATCACAGATTTATATCACTTGCAGATCCTGAACTTAATAATTGATTTTTGCTTGATAAATACATTTATTAATAAGCAGAATTTTTACCAGCTGATTGTTATTTATTACGAAATACAGTCGACTTAAACACGATGTTAATATTATTATTTATTAAATAATAAAGGGCTTTATGTTTATTGCGGGCAAAGTCTACAACGCCCGAGAACCGTTAAAGCAAAAAGCCAACAGGCAATGTTCGTGGGTTAACCCTGGCGCCCTTTTTTGATCGTCCTTATGCCCCAAAATTTAAAATGCAAAAGCAATAATTATATATTAAGAAAGTATTTAAAATGAAATTTCGTTTACAAAAAAGTAAGTATGTCTATGCAAGAAGTGGGCTCCAAAACAGTGTATGAAATTGCTGCCCAGTGACTTTTCTATTCTCGATTATTTTGCTTCACCTTTGTCTATCTTCTATTTTGCAAATTTAAAATGTCGAAAACTCTCCTCCAGGGAGCAGCATACGGCATCGCGGGCATTATCAAAGGACTCGGAATTTTGTCGCTGAAACAACTGGACGTAATGGGCAAGCTTACTGAAGCCATACAAGAAAAGAAGAACTATAAATTTCGCGAAGGTAAATGTCAAATAATAGATTGCAATTGGATATTCGCAACGGTGCCATCGAGAAAACTACAAATCAAAATTTGTAACCGTCACTGGCTCAATGTTATTGTAATCCTTGTCCACAGGCGCTCTGTTCGGCTTCGAAATGCTGTGCTACAAGCTGGGCCGCCTGTTCGAACCGTACATCGTGCATGTACTCCCGCACCTGCTGATGTGCTTCGGCGACAGCTCGCAGTACGTGCGCGCCGCGGCCGACGACACCGCCAAGCTCATCATGAGCAAACTCAGCGCGCACGGCGTTAAGCTGGTGCTGCCTTCGCTGCTGCAGGCCTTGGAGGATGATAATTGGCGCACTAAAGCTGGTGGGCGTCCATGTCTTTTAACTGAGACCTACCCGCTTCTTTGCGAAGTCTACCGCTTATTAAGTGTCTGTTTATCCGCACGTCGCTCCCGTCGGTGTCCATGCTGCCTTGATCCAAAATGGGAACTTGTGAATGTAACGTATAAATATGTTGCCCCATCATGACATCTTATTCGATTGTGGTCGTTCGACATACGCAGGTTCGGTGGAGCTGCTGGGTGCGATGGCGTACTGTGCGCCGAAGCAGCTGTCGTCGTGCCTGCCGTCCATCGTTCCGAAGCTGATCGAAGTGTTGAGCGATTCGCACATGCGCGTGCAAGACGCAGGCGCTGGCGCGCTCAAGGTCATCGGCTCGGTTATCAGAAATCCCGAGATTCAAGGTATTGTTTAAGGGCGAGCTCTCGTAACTGACATGTTCAGGGTACGTAATAACGACATCTCAAACCCGATCGTTCCTCGTAGCAATCGTGCCAGTCTTACTACAAGCGCTGCAAGACCCCTCCAACAAGACGTCGGCCTGCCTGCAAACGCTGCTGGATACAAAATTCGTGCACTTCATCGACGCGCCGTCTCTGGCGCTGATCATGCCCGTAGTGCAGCGCGCGTTCCTCGACCGCAGCACGGAGACGCGCAAGATGGCCGCGCAGATCATCGGCAACATGTACTCGCTCACCGACCAGAAGGACCTGCAGCCCTATTTGCCCAACATCATTCCTGGGCTGAAGAGCTCGCTGCTCGATCCCGTGCCCGAGGTTGGATTTCGTTGCCACAGTTTGAATCCTCGGCTCGCGAGAGTCGGAAAGCGAACGTGTGGTCGTGCTGGCGCAGGTGCGGTCGGTGTCCGCGCGCGCGCTGGGCGCGATGGTGAAGGGCATGGGCGAGAGCTCGTTCGAGGAGCTGCTGCCCTGGCTGATGCACACGCTCACCTCGGAGACCAGCTCCGTGGACCGCTCCGGCGCCGCGCAGGGCCTGTCCGAGGTCGTCGCCGGCCTCGGGGTGCACAAGCTGCACAAGATCATGCCGGGTACAGTTGTTTTCTATTATCTTGAATGCAGTTCGAGTAAAATAACAGTGTAAGCGAGTTCTTGTTACGAGCTGTTTACAACGTAATCGACATATTTAGCGAAATTTAGTTATTAACAAGAGTAAGCTGTACCTACATTAGCGCCACCTGGTGACAAACTTTTATATCATAAACTCTCAAAACTGTCTGGTTTACACTATACTCGTTCCAACATATAATATAAATAAAATTATCAATAAAACACTAATTACATTATGTATAGAAAATTATGAACAGCGATCATTCTTAGAACAATTGAGCAAGTAATGTGTACGAAGTAGAATAACCAATCTGTGCACAGACATTATAGCGACCGCGGAGCGCACGGACATCGCGCCGCACGTCAAGGACGGCTATATCATGATGTTCATCTACATGCCGGGAGCCTTCACGGACGAGTTCACGCCGTACATCGGCCAGATCATCAACCCCATCCTCACGGCGCTGGCCGACGAGAACGAGTACGTGCGGGAGACCGCACTCAAGGCCGGACAGCGCATCGTCACCTTGTACGCCGAGTCGGCAGTCACCCTGCTGCTGCCCGAGCTGGAGAAGGGGCTCTTCCACGACAACTGGCGCATTCGGTACAGCTCCGTGCAGTTGCTCGGGGACCTGCTGTACCGCGTGTCGGGGGTGTCGGGCAAGATGAGCACGGAGACGGCGTCGGAGGACGACAACTTTGGCACGGAGCACTCCCACAAGGCCATCATGAACGCGCTGGGCAACGATCGGCGCAACCGGGTGCTGGCGGGGCTGTACATGGGCCGCAGCGACGTGGCGCTCATGGTGCGCCAGGCCGCGCTGCACGTCTGGAAGGTGAGGCGGGCCGTCCGCCGCCGGGCCCCGGCCCCCGACGCCCCCGCCACTGACCCGCCGCTCCCCAGGTGGTGGTGACCAACACGCCGAAGACGCTCCGCGAGATCCTGCCCACGCTGTTCGGCCTGCTGCTGGGCTGTCTGGCCTCCACCAACTACGACAAGCGGCAGGTGGCCGCCAGGGCGCTGGGCGATTTGGTGCGCAAGGTACGTTCCGGACGGCACCCGCCGACGCGCTCGCGTCGCCGCCACTGACCCTCAACGCCGACGGCTTCGTTGCAGCTGGGCGAGCGCGTGCTGCCCGAGATCGTGCCCATCCTGGAGCGCGGCCTGCGCTCGGACCGCGCCGACCAGCGCCAAGGCGTGTGCATCGGCCTCAGCGAGATCCTCGCCTCCACGTCCAGGGACGCCGTGCTGAGCTTCGCCGACGGCCTGGTGAGGACGCGCTCCCCGCCACCCCCTCCCCTGCCCCTCCCCTGCGTGGCCCGCCTGACGGCCCCTCGCCGCCCCGCAGGTGCCGACGGTGCGCACGGCGCTGTGCGACCCGCTGCCCGAGGTGCGCGAGGCGGCGGCGCACACCTTCGACAGCCTGCACGCCACCATCGGCAACAAGGCGCTGGACGACATCCTGCCGCCCATGCTGGAGGGGCTGCAGGACCCCGACCCTGACGTGGCCGACGCCACGCTGGACGGCCTCAAGCAGGTGAAGCGTCGCCGGATCTCGGTGCGCCGGCGCAGCGGGGTCCGCGCAGACTCGTACTGGAGCGGGGCGTCGACAGATCATGGCGATAAAGTCCCGCGCGGTGCTGCCGTACCTGGTGCCGGTGCTGACGGCGAGCGGCGGCGGCGGCGTGGACACGCGCGCGCTGTCGGCGCTGGCGGCGGCGGCGGGCCCCGCGCTGGCGCGCCACCTGCCGCGCGTGCTGCCGGCGCTGCTGCTGGCGCTCAAGGCCGCCCGCGGCACGCCGCACGAGGCGCGCGAGCTGGACCACTGCCGCGACGCGCTGCTGCCCGTCGTCGACGTCGCCGGCGTGCGCTGGTAGGCGGCCCCCGCCCCCGCCCCCGCCCTCGCCGCCCCGCGCTCACCGCCCGTGCTTGCAGCATCATCGACACGCTGCTGGAGACGGTGCGCACGACGGAGAGCGAGGGCCGGCGCGCGGCCGCCGCCCTGCTGTGCGCGTACGTCTCGCACAGCAAGGCGGACCTCTCGGCGTACGTGCCGCAGCTGCTCCGAGGCCTGATCCTCCTGTTCGCGGACACCGACTGCGACGTCCTGCAGATGGCGTGGGAGGCGCTCACCGCGCTCACCAAGACGCTGCCGCCCCCGAAGCAGATCCTGCACGTGTCGGACGTGCGGCAGGCCGTCAGATACGCCGCTTCCGATTTTAAGGGAGATTTGCTGCCAGGTTTTTGTCTGTCCAAGGTGAGCTTCGAACCTTAAATGTCGGGTGCTTGTCGGTTACGACCGTGGCGTTTTTTTAATATTTTATACATTGATGATTATTTTCAATTAAATGTCGTATTTACCAACGGTTAGTTGGTATGCACGTAATTATAAATAGAAAATATTTTGCTTTTCGCTGTGAGCAATATTTTTAACCGACTTAAAAAAACAGGAAGATTCTCAATTCGACTGTATCTTTTTTGTATGCATATTACGCGATAACTCATTTAGGCATTTCAGGACCCCGATTCAGAACTCTTCGATATTTTAACCGAAACATTCGATTAGATATCGTTCTCGAATCGAAGGGTGCTTTCCGAGCCATTCAGAGCATTCGAGTTAAACGTTAGATTCTGATTCGGATACGATATCGTTACCCAACCGCGTTTACGGAGTTAGACGGTGAAATAGACTATAAGAAAAATGAAAATCTTATTTATAAATGCTTTTTTAAGACTTTATAGACCTAAAATATACGAATGCTTTGCTTTGTCTTGCTTTAAATTAACTTGAACAAAATCCAGACTTTATTTAAAATAATTAGAGATTTCCATATTACGTTCTTGCTTTGTAAATAATAGGACGTTCGGTAACTTTCATTCGATAACTGTGTTCTGAATAACGTTTGTAGCCTTTGCCGGTCGAGAAGTTCCATTAATCGTACGGGTGTGACATCATTTCGGTTCGGTTTCGAATACGACAGTCTGACGTTCAATTCGGGTGTTGTGAATAAAAATGAAAAGAAATCGTACGATATCAAGGTCGACAACAGAGTTATCGTAAGGTTTTGAATCGACCCCCTGAACCGATTATGTTGTTTGTTTTTTTTTTTTGTTGGAAAGAGGGTACCTCAGTATTGGTTCCATTGAAATTTGAAGAAAGTATTCCACTTATAGGGAATGAATTTATAAAAACGTTACGTATTATGTAAAATCCGTTCAGGGCATAACTCCGATCCTGCCGCTGTTCCGCGAGTCGATCCTGAACGGGATGCCGGAGGACAAGGAAAATGCGGCGCTGATGCTGGGGGAGGTGATCCGGCTCACGTCGGCAGAGGCGCTTCAGCCTTCGGTGGTGCACATCACCGGCCCTCTCATACGCATCCTCGGGGATCGGTTCAACTCCTCGGTCAAAGCTGCCGTGCTGGAGACGCTCGCGCTCTTGCTTTCCAAGGTAACGGCGGCCCCCCGGTCCGTCGCGGTGACGCCGCCCGACTCGTCCGGCTACGGCTCGACGTCGACGTTCGCAGGTGGGCGTGATGCTGAAGCAGTTCCTGCCGCAGCTGCAGACGACGTTCCTCAAGGCGCTGACGGACGCCAACCGCGCGGTGCGCATCAAGGCGGGGCTGGCCATGGCGCAGCTGGTGGTGATCCACACGCGCGCCGACCCGCTGTTCAGCGAGATGCACGCGCACATCAAGAACGCCGAGGACCCGGCCGTGCGCGAGACCATGCTGCAGGCGCTGCGCGCCGTGCTGTCGGCCGGCGCCGACAAGATGTCGGACGCCACGCCGCTGGCGCTGCTGGCCACGCTGTCCAGCGCGCCCTTCCTGGCGCACCCCGAGGATCCGCCGCGCGCGGCCGTGGGCGGCTGCCTGGGCGCGCTGCTGCACTGCCTGCCCAAGCCGCACCGCGACGCCGCGCTGCTGCACCACGTGCTGGCCGCCGCCGACGACTGGCCGCTGCAGCACGGCCGCTCCTGCGCGCTGTTCGTGGCGCTCAAGGAGACGCCCGACCGCGTCTACCGCGACCACTTCGAGGAGAAGATCGAGAAGGCGCTGCTGGGCTATCTGCAGAGCGACCGGATCCCCGTGGCGTGCAACGGCGTGCGCGGCATCGCCTACCTGATGCGCCACCTGCTGCTGAGCGGCCGCGCCGTGCCGTCCGCGATCCTGTCGCAGTTCGTGCGGGTGAGTGCCGCCGGCGCGGCCCGCCCGCGCCCGCGCCCGCCCGCTACAGCCGCGCCCGTTGCAGAGCATGAACCACCCCAGCAACGAGGTGAAGCAGCTGGTGGCGCGCGCCGGCGGGCTGCTGGCGCGCGAGGGCGCGCTGGACGTGCGCGCGGCGCCGGCGGCCGAGGCGCTCAAGGCGCTGCTGCCCGCGCTCGTCAACGGCACCAAGGAGAAGAACACCTACGTGCGCGCCAACTCCGAGCTGGCCCTGCGCGCCATCCTGCGGCTGCCGCACGAGGACGACTTCTGCCAGGTGCGTGGAGAGGGCGGCCGGGGCCCGACCCGCCCGGCCCGCCCGGCCCCGCCCCGACCGACCCCGTCTGCCCGCAGCAATGCCTGGGCCTGCTGGAGGCGGGCGCGCGCGAGGCGCTGAGCGACGTGGTGGCCCGCGTGCTGCGGCGCGCGCACCCCGACTCGCGCATGGAGGACCTGGACTGCACGCTCATCTGCTGAACGCGCCCCGCGCTCGACTGCCCGTTTATTATATTAAAGTTGATGTTATTTATACAAGTCACCGTTTTATTTTATTTTTTCATTTCCTGCGCAGACGAGACGGTGTTGCGGTGTGTGTAAGTATGTACGTTAAGAGTCTATGCGGCCTCAAATGGCTTCGGTTGATTCCGCATAACGGTGAAAGTGTTGAATCGGTCACTTTGAAAAAGGTATATAGTAATAATCGAGGATATATACTGATTACTATACGGTGTGAAAACGCGCTTGCTAAAAATTTTCACAATAGAAAAAACAAACTGACCTCGAAATTGTACAAGAAAACCGCTGTATTCAATACGTTTTTTTTTTCATATCGACTAAACTTAATAGAACACATATACTATACTATATGTACTAAAAGGATATCCGGTAACTATCCTGGGACAATATCCGACCGGATACCGGATATTAAAAACAGAAAAATTCACAGTCAGTACACCAAATAATTTATTAAATAAAGAGGATAGTATAAATAGCAATTACACGATCGTTAATAATCTGTTCATTACTTGTTGTACAGAACTATGAAGTTAGATAACGTTTTCTGTAAATTTAGCACTCACATTGGATGAAAACCAGTATTTCTGCAATAAGTGATAAAACCCTTGACACAGCTTTTCACTATAAACTCTTGTTAAATGTAGGTACTGTCACTTACATACTGAAAGAATCGCAATCAACATCAATTGATTTAAAATATTATGTTTTCCTATGGACAATGTGTAACAATAATAATGAAACGTGTAAATAGATTTAGAAAAAAAAAACTGGTACTTATCAAGTTTTAGAATAATGAGATCACCAACAACAAATTAATGAAACGAAACTGAAACAAAAGAGCAACGAGCGTGTCAAGCTAGGCTTGTACTTATAAAATAACAACTAGACATATATAATTATTTTTTATATAAATTTTATTTATAATATAGACAAAGAAATATGTAACTGTTTTTTTTCCATCTCCACAACGAGAAATTTGCATTCAGTACAACAAAGAAATGTGAAAGTGCAATCATTCATTAATCAATCAATCACGGCGATGCGTGCTGTAAAGCGGTCGCGACATGTATGCGACTGGATCTGAAATCCGGCTATTCGGTCTAGTTACTCGCCGGATATCCGGTAACCGGCCAAGTTACTATTTATCTCTACTGTGCCGATAACACACTTTGCACTGCAGGATGTATGTAAATGCAAGTAGGACGTTGCAAGGAGACGGAGAGATGCAAAATGCAATGCGAATGATTGGAATACTATTAAATAATGTAAATAAAACGACCGTGTCCGAACGAGACAATAATAACACTCCTTTATTGCAAAATATACATCGACCACCGTGGTGCTGCAGTAAGCATAAATCGAATGCATATGATATCGTGCGGGTTTACTTGTGCATATTAAAATAACAAAATGTAAATCATAAAAAATGTACGGTTTCACTCGTACATACTAGGCAGTACTCTAAAAGAACAAAATGCAAGAGCAAAAAGATGCAAAGTGCTACTCTAAAAGTAAAAAATATTAAAATTAAATTAAAAAGAGTAAGTAAAAAGGAAGTTAATATAAAAATAAAACGTGTAAAATTAAATTAGACAGTTTCTGCAGGTACCGTCTTGAAGTGGATGGTCCTGTGTTTTGCCAATTGAGAAGTGGTCTTATCCGCTGATCCAGGTACATCAAACCGCGGCGGCGGCGGCGGCGCGCTGACAACGATAGTGGGAAGCTAAACCAATTGTGTGCTACTCCTCTTATACCTACTCGGATTCGTTTCTGCAAAAGTATTGGAATGGAGACAGTGTCAGATGCCTTAGTGAGATCAAGGAAGTAATGGAGTGTATTTATTACCCGGTGAACTAGCCCGCTTGAAGTCGCTTATTAGTTTGCTAACCTCATCCGTGTCAGTGGGGTTCATGAAAAAGGAGTCTGGCTTTGACGTCTAAATGTTGACCGCATTTGCTAAGGATGTCTGAGTAACGGAGTTTTTCTAAGGTAACATTGGCCAGGTTATTACCGATATTAGCCAAGTAATTATTGCAGTAATTGAGAGAAGCCTGAGGGTCTGGCTTTGTATAAGCTAGTTCAGTTGGACCGTTATGCACCTTCTTTATATGACATATTTATTTAATATGGGACCAAAGCTTTCTGGGGTTGTCTTTGCTTGTAGAAAGAATTTCGTTTTCATAGTTAGCTTTGAGTCTGTTTAAGAGACCATTAAGAAAATTGCGATATCTTTTATAGATTATTCGAGCTGTTTTATTCGAGGGGTTTTGTTACTACAGTTGGTAAAAGTAGATTAAGTACAATCGTACGCGAATACTTATAACAGATATAAATTACCCCATCACTATTTCGTAGTTGACTGTACTTTACTTTAACTACGGGCGGACCGGCCCGCGGTGACCGATCGTAGCAAATTCTTGTGCGGATAACCACCGTCAGCGAATATCAGTAAGAAAGTCAATAAATATTTAACCGTAATTTAAATTGTGCGATCACATAATATTAATTTTGTTTCATGCGGTCTTATGCAAACATGTATTTCGACTGAGTCGCTTTCTAGATATCCTGTCATTCTTATTATAGGTATTGCTCACACAAAAGCAGTACACAGAAGTAAAACTCACTACACTTAAGAAATAAATAGTTAAATATCCTCACAATAAAATATCATTTATGTATCACGTTTAACGTTTAACGTTGGGCCCACATCTATGCTTGGGCCTGTGTCAATTTCGGTGTATGTTGACACGGAAGCCTCTCAGCTTTCCGACCAGAGTTGCGATGCAGCGGCCACGTGGATCCCTAAGCTTAAAACCATTCTTATACTCTAGCCAAATTCGATACAGTCAATAACTTTTAAATATTACTAAAAATTATATTATGTTTTTGTTGACATAACTAATAAATGATGCGCTTGTGAACATTTTGATGTCAGCGTACGGTGCACAAAGTAACAAAAGTAATTTGTAAAAAGGACCACTTGCTAATGGGGTAAATGGTGCTAATTCTGAACTAAATAAAAGAATAGCCCGCAGTTATTCATAAAAAATCTGTGAAATAAGCGCCATCTAGTTGGTTTGTTTGTAATCATTAGAAATTATTGCTTTGATAAACTGCCGCTTGTCAATGTTACAATAACTATGTGGTACTCGGCGCGATATCTGGTGTACCAATAAGTACTAAATACCCGACTACGCTGTCTTGTATCCGCGATTAGCAGTCCTCTTCTAACACTGAGTTATTCTATTGTCATCAAAATGGTCTACTTTTCTTTATCTGCTCAACAAGTCAACTTCAAAGAAAATAATCCTAAAAAAATTTATCATGTAGTAAGTAATTAAAGAAATTAACAATTGTAATACCTGGCTTAGTTTGCTGATTAATATCGTTAACTGCACATTACAAGGGCGGGCGATAAGTACTTAATCTGAGGACTTCCTTCTTAGGCTATCATGACAATATACATGTTGTTTTTCTAAGTCCTTGTTATCTCATTAAGCTCTCCAGCTAGCCTAGATCATCTAGGCTTCGAAGCAGTTACGTGCTCTATTTAAAAATTAAAATGAGTAACTCGGGTCTTAACTCTGGCGTATCAGCAAGCGACCACACCCAAAATATTATTCAACTTTTCAAAAATGTCAATACCTACCATTACCATTATGAAGAAATTCGTTTTAGCCCGTGATTGATCCAAGTTGTTCGTTCAGTGCATTACACGATAGTTCAGTTTTGTAAATTTTGAAAAACTTCGATATTTTTTCCATTGAATTCAAATTTAGGATATCGAGTCACCATATTGTCAAAAGTAGGTACCTTTTTTAATCATTATGTAGTTTTGACGAGGCGAAATTCCTGCTCCTCCAACCATCGGAGGACAGGGAAAAACCAGTATTTTTCCTCACCTTCATAGTAAGTAAATAAATGTAGAAATTGAAAGCATATTATTGCTTTCAATTTATTTGTATGCCTAATGTTAAGGTTAGGGAATCTATCTATACTCATTTTGTTACCCATTGTCAAATTCTAAACTACTTGTGTGCAATGCAACTGGAATTTAAAATAAAACAGTACACAGGACATCTATGAGATAAAAGTGTAATAAAATTATAATGTACATGTTTATATATTACTGTATATGGACATACTGATACTTATATCAATACACAGACAACAGTATACCTATTGTTCATTTTAGCAAGAGAAGTACTAGTTAATGACATTCCCTATGAGCATTTGTATGCCCAGGCAGAGGCCAACATTGAAGCTAAGCAAATTCTTTATTTCTATTGGTCTTGCCTCAGAGTAGTGATTGTTAGTGATCACAAAATTAGAGTTCTGCAGGGCCTCGACAAATCACGCTAATAATAATAAAGACAAACGTATGGAACGCTATGAAGTTATGATTTATAACTACTTTTACATACCAGAAATACCCATATAAAATTGAGAATCTAATAGTTAATTTAATTACCTTCATGTTTATTGGCATGTCTGAAATGACACATTGTTAACTTGCACAAGTAGGGTACTTCCTGCACAACAACACAACATGGCCATTCTCCATATAAGTGTTATCAAACAAGAAGCATTTTGGAATGTAAACTTGTGCAACTTTTCTACAGCATAGCAGTTGTGGATTAACAAAGAATGATAATTCTGTTGCTGAATGTCTATTGGCAGTTTGTTCACACAAGTTGATGATGACCTTTATAAACAGCATTTTGATGAAGTTCCGCCAGTGGTTTGTGCTTTAACAGCTTTACCAAAAAATTTCTAACACTGAGTATACTAAAGAGAAACACTGACTACAAGAATGACGCCCCAAAGATATGTGATATTGAAAGAGGAACTTGATTATGTGAAAAATAGTAGTTTTACAGAGCAATCTCTTACTAGAAAAACAAACTTAACGTAAAGAAACACAATTTTAAAGTACTGCCCCCAAAAGACCTCTATCCTTAGGGAGTCATTTTATTTTTTTAAGTTGTGGTTAATGATAAAAGTTTGCTGATTTTGTATCCGTTTAAAGATCCGATTTATTGGTGGCTTGCTTGAAACCTCTGCTTATCAGTAGTTCATTACACTGCTCTCGTGTCAGGCTTGAAAGCGCGAGACGCTCGAGTTCGGCGTCGCCTTCGCCAAGCAGGACAAGCTCCGGCGGCGCCCCTGTTATGAAGTTCACTTGTAATCTCTCATATTTCGGAGCGTCGTCCAGAATGAATTTCTTCACTTCCGGCAGACGATTCAGCGAACACCCTCGGCAACTCTGCGCATAGACCACACCGATCAAACTAATAATTAAATAAAAACTAATTAAATACAACGCCACTATATCGGAGGAGAAAACAAGGACGTACCTCGATTCTTGCGGACACGATATCTGTGTCTTGCAAAGCTGTAGATACTGTTAATATAGCTGAAAGGGCGATAACAAATGATTTCATTTTAGCAATTAATTAACGAAACTGAAAACCGTGCACTCGCTCGATCACGAAAACAAATAATAGTAAAGTTGAAGTGTGAAGTAGGTTTTTAAATTTTCATTCATAACCTTGCACAGTGATACCATAATCCATATGATATTGATACGTCACACAAAGCGTTGCCAATGCTCATTATTCAAAAGCCCCAAAAACCATGGTTAAAATCCCCAAATTTGGGGAGAGCAAAGTTCGTATTCCCCACATATATTATATTATTATGGCCATACATCCATCGCATAAAAATGTATCAAAGAGTTAAGAAACTCAAATTGTAACTATCTGTAATTCGTTACACTAAGGTTAGAAGTAATCAATGAGTTAAATTAAGTTTAGACCTTAATTTAATATTTAAACTTGACGAGTGGCAAGTTGTGGTGTGAAAGTATCAACTGCTCGGTTTTGTTTGGCAATAGTTGATTTCGTTTTTCTTCATCCCGGGGTCCGACCTGAAGGAAGGGTCGGAAAGAAGGTAGTAATTTTACAATTTAGGACAAAGTAGGTACTTGAAATATCTACCGAATAATTATATTTATGTGGCTTGCTAATAATAATTATAAATATTGCTATATAAGCAGGGGATATGCTATGTTTAAAAAATATCGATATCGTTCATAAATAAATAAGTAGTGCTTTTATCATCAAACTAGCGATGCATCAGCAATCGATAGATGAAAAAAATGGTAAAATAGATTGTTAGAATCGTCGCATTTTCCGCACATAGCGCCAAACTCCAAACAAAAATTCCCAAAAAAAAGTTGACATTTCCCGCAATTTGGGGAATTCTCCACAAATTGGCAACACTGCAAACTTTTATCTCTGGGCGCTGAAGTGGCTGATCTTTTTGAGTATAAAAATTTCCATTTTGAACAAATCATATTTATTAGAAAAGCAAATATTTTCCCTGTAACATTTTTCCACATTTGGCCTGTCAAAAGTTGACCAAAAACAATAGGAACCATGGAATCATATTTTCAAATTTTTCCGGGAAAATAGGCTCAACTCACACTGGCGCAGAGTCGAAGCGTCGCGACGCGTCATGTTTTTCGCCTATAGTATATTCGTCTCTATTTTCCCATTATTAAAGTACAAATTTGTGTTTTGCAAATATGGAATCGAGCGTCGACACTTGGTAGCATTCGAGCGGCTTCTTGCGACTTGGGCGCCGTGAGGCTTTAACAATGACGACACTAATACGTTACTTTTTTGTTCTTGGCACTTCTTTACATGACTACTTGTATTCGCTATTGGGTGATTGATGCTTGGAAAAATAAATGACGAACAAGCTCCATATCTTTCTACGTTAGTTTTGATTATAGTGACCCTCCCAACCTACCCTTACGAGAAGTGCACCCTACCTAACCTGTGCGCGCACAGGAACCTTACAAGTTCAGGTTCTGACCCCGGACCAGCCAATATTATAGGACAGGGTTGTCACAGACCTCTGTCACTTGACTTCATCCGGTTCTTCGAGAGTCTAGTGCCTCGGGTGCACGTACAGTACCCTACCTATTTTTCAGATACCTACCGGAGCTGTAGGTATACTCATTTCCCGTTGCGCATTGCATAACTAGCGATTGCCACCGTTAAGCCGTCGACTCAAAGTCCACTACCAAATCTTATTGGTGGCGGAGCTGTATGACACGCTCACTTCCCGCCGAAAAACGACGTCTCTCCAGTGCCCAATAACCTAAGCGGCTGGAGGGACCGGAGGGTATCTACCATATCCTCCTAACTCTCCGGGCTAGTGCCGGTGATGCCAGTCGCAGTGTCATGCGGCTTTATCCGGACATAGCTTCCAACTTAAAGGGTGACTCACGTGCGCTGCGCGTCCCATCGCTTCAGGCCCTCAACTAGACCGCTACTAAGACGCGCTAGCTGCGCACGAGACAAATGTGTGTAGCAGTTACGCTACAATATTTTGGTAACGCGCTTACGACTGAAACTCGCACGACAAAAATTAGAAGTATTTTTTTTATTTCTACACGAGCGAATTTTATTTACAGAGGGTCAAGACCATGTCAAGTTTAAAAACTCAAGATTTAAATTGAACTCTACACCGCTTGCGATAAAAACAAGTCGAGGGTCGATCTTGATGTTTTTTTGAGTGCATGTATACAAAACTGCCTCCGTGGCCGAACGGTTACCATACCGGACTGCCACGCAGAGGTCCCAGGTTCGATTCCCGGGCCGGGAGAAATATTTGTATGGCCTACAATTATTTCTCTCGTGAGTTTGGGTGTAATTTGTGGTTGTCTATGTGTGTGTCCATGGCACCCGCGACACAGGGTTTCCCTAGTGCGGGGCTATGTTGAGTGTGTGCGTTATTATTATTAAGTTTCACAGGAAAAAAAAAGTTAAAAATCCTCTTGGTTACTATATTTACGGGATTGATGTTTACTAACTTTTTTAAACAAGTATGTAGCAACTTCAATCCTATCATGGGCGTATATAAAATGTAAATTATCAGGAAATAAAGAAATTAAAACATTTAACACTTACGTGATAAATTTTTGGTTTAAAAACAAAAGTATCACAAAGTTTGGACTACATTCGGTGAACGCCACCGGACCAACAATTGCTTGGAAGGATGGCATACAAAACTTAACAAAAAGTTGGGAAAGAAAAATAGAAATATTTTAAATATTTTACAGATACTGAAAAATGATGCAAAATATAACAATAGACGTTATAAGAATCAGATAACAAACACTAGAAAAAACAACAAGTAGACAACGATGATTTTTTTAATGGAACCTCAGATGGAGTTGGTAAATCATCAGTGAACAAGTAAATGCTTTTTGTCTGAGAATTTTGTTGGGTGTATTTTGTTCAATTTATTACATGTTTTGATTGCAAATAGCGTTTTTTTTCGTTTGTGAATTTGGTAAATAAATAGTATTTCTTTGCCTTGAGATCTCAGGAGTTTCGTGATGGAAAAAATATCTTAGAATCCTATAGAATCACCATAGGATTGCAGTTGCTACATACACGTTTAAAAAAGTTAGTAGCGTCAATTCCGTGAATATAGGAACCAATAGAATATAAACTTATACTGTAGTCCCATGGGATTATAGGCGTGTGAGCCCAGTGGCAGGAGTGAAAAATAGCATATTTTAGCAAACTTCAAAGGTGGTTCTCGTGTTATTCGTGTTTTCTTGTGTGTACCTACGTCACGTGGTTGCTCCGATATTAAATAATGTAGTTTTGTAAACCGCTTTCTATAATTCTTTTTTGTTGGAAAGGGGGTAAGGGGGTACCTCCGTAGTGGTGTTAATGAAATTAGAAGAAAATGTTCTACCTCTAAGGCCACAAATTCACAACTGTGTGGGGGTTCGTTTGCGCGTACATTGCACGTAATCGTGTCTTGTACAGTATACAGACACAATTTTTGTCTGATCATAACTTAGAAATATCTTTTCAAAAACAAAAATTATGCAATTTAGGTCGTATCAAAGAAAACCTTTGAATATAAATTTTAAGTACAAATCTATAAAGGTGGAATGCGTAGACACCTTCACTTTGCTGGGATTCGATTTCTTTTATTTATTTTTTTCCATCCTCTCAAGGATTCGATATTGATTCTAATGTCAATTGGAAAGCACACGTCAAAAAGATGAAAAAAGCAAATTGTCAAAATTCGTATATGCTCTAGGAGAACTAAACAAAATCACAAACATGAAAGCTGCACTTGCTGCTTATTACAACTCAGGTACGGGATCATACTTTGGGGAACAGGACTGACATTCATGATATATTTATCCTACAAAAAAAGTGTGTACGAATACTGGCAAATATCCAGAAAGTTGCCAACTGCATTTAAAAAAACTGGGAATCTTAACACAAACATGTATTTATATTTTCGCAACTTGCGTATTTGTAATAAAAAAATCCTCAGTTTTAGATCAAACACGACGCTCTGAGACACGATTTAAAAACAATTTAGCTTTATTGAGAGGATTAAGGATTTAGGATTAGGACTGAAGGAGGGAGGAAGGAAGAAACTGAAAATACATAGCAGTAGCCCAAATTCAATGGCAAGAAAAATTTATAATAAACGATCTATTAAAAAATGAACGACGTGATAATTTTTTTATAATGTTCTAAAGCAATTTCTGCTAAATAAATGTTTTTACTCCTCGGAAGAATATTTTCATGATTAGATGTTATTGTATTAAACAAAATAGATGAATAATTATATTAGATTAAACCTTCGGTCTGTCTGTCTCATACATTGCTACGCCCTTCTGGGTTTCATATGTTTGATATACATAGAATATTACATGTGAATTGCAATAAATAAAAACCTCGAACTTCGCTATACGCGCCGCCGCCGTCTTTCTGAATTTGCTGCCTTAGGCTGGCAAATTAGGGGATGAAGCCGGTTTATGGTCTATCCACACATATCCGGGCCGGGCCGTGCCCGGAACGTGGACGGGCCGGCGCCGGGACGGGCTCGCAGTTCATACAAACTAGCACGCCCCGGCCACGTCCCGGGCACGGCCTTGATGTGTGTGGATAGTCCTTTGTCGCAATGTCACCCACTTTCCGTTAACCGATTTTAACTAAACTTGGCACATCTGTGTACGATATAGATTTAATTCCAGTGAAAATAAAACACCTCAATAACGGAACGAAGCAAACTTTCGAGGTCGGTTATTTTATAATAAAAACTGTTATAATAATCGCAAATTGTATCAAAGCCTGATTATGGTGACCACGAAAATACTAGGGATTTGCTAGGAATGGTGAGTGACGCGGAATAATGCAAACGTTTGGAGGACTGATGAAATGTGGTTTCTGTGGAAAAAGATTTCTTCTGTTTCACCATTTTTAAAATATGCTTATCATACAACATTGTACTGGGTAATTTTCAGGCTAGTTTTCTCTACCTGGTTTAGGTAGCTATTCTATTATTTAAATGTTGTAGAATAATATCACCTGAAATATTATTTAATATTTTGCGAAAATTTACTCGAATAATTAAATGCCTAATAATAATTCCCACCGAAATTATTATAAGTACAGAAAACTAACCTGAAAATTACCCTACTGAAATTGAATTTATTTGTGGTGAATAACGCATAGCAAACAAAGTAAATTGTAAATTAATTTACACATTATCGAAATAAAGTTATGCGCTTTGTAAAATAATGTGTGTTTTAAATGATACCGAGTCATCCGTTGCCGACATTTATTCAAGAACTTCATCACGCGTTATAAATACACATCATACAAAAATATACATACTAATGTTGATTAAATAGTTAACAAGTGATAGATTTGTACATATACAAAAGTCTTTCTCAATATCCTCATTGTGCACATGGATAGGTTCATGAACATTTTGATAGTCAAGACCTTTGTAGGCTATTTCATCTGAACATTCTTACATCATTGCAATGCATACAAAAATCCTCACTTTTACTCTTTTTGTAAGACGGTAACTAACTTCTATTCGCTCTGTTTAAACGAATGGAACTTGCCGGGGCACCGAGAGAGGCGGGGACGCTAATTCGAAAGAACAGAAAAATCTGTCAAAGTCAGCAATATACAACCAGTACAGTGGCGATCGATAGCACCAGACGACCTTCTTAGTTCATTTCATCATGCATCCTTTGTATTAAAAAACTAACATGCATTCAAGGTTATACTAGTCGGTGTTATCATTTGAAGAGCTAAATTCAAGAACTGTATTTTTACACGAACATTATTCTAAGTACAATAAAAATATATAACAGAGAAAATTGCTTAAAATGAAGCTTTCCTGTGATTCGCCACTAAATTAAAACACACGAGAAGCAATAGGGGTCACTAACACATTTCCATAATCTGCGCGATCGTTTCGTCATCGAATCGTCGTTTCACGCAAAAGGCAATCATCGGTCAGAGATAGACACAACCAGGGCACTAAGCTTACTCAGGTTAAGCCACTGCCGCACACACTTCTGCTCACTCGAGTCTTTCACTTTATCATAGTCTTCACACTTGACTGCCTGCAATGGTTCCGCATCCAACGCCTTCTTTAAAAGATCGGCGTACTCGTTGATCTTTTCGAGCCACCTCTGCATCGGGTTAACTAGCGAACTCTGATACAACCAGTTGAGGACAGAGGTCCGCGACCACCAAGGCTCAAAAGCCTTCCAGTCGTACACAACCACCGGGTCGGACCAAGCCTTCTTGGCGGTACTCTCGTGATACTTGAGCCATTGCGTGCAGCATCGGACGGGATCCGCATCAGGCGCCTGCAGCAGGGGGAGTAGGTCCAGCGAGGAATTGGTAACAGAAGGAGGGAGCTGCAATTGCGAGGGTGCAACCGTAAGGGTCGCCACGTCGTGCAAGGCGGCTGCGGGGTCGGTCGCCGGCGCAGACAGGCGCTGCAGTTGCGGTAGGCACACGTGCGAGATCACCAGCGTGGAGGTGAGGAGCGCCAACAGGCTGGCCAGGTATCCTAGCGCCGTCAACGCGCAAGAAGCTGCCAGCGCGCGTAGAGCCTCGGCAAGCAGCGCGCCGTCGCCGCTAACGTGCAGGTCCGAGTACGTGAAGAATCCGCGCAGCGCCGCCTGCTTCAGCGCCACGCGTCGCTCCAGCCAACGCAGCCCGTTCTCGAAGTGTTGTTCGCCAACGAAAATGTTCCAGTCCTGCAAATAATAAAGTCACTACTTACTTGGTCAGTTTTACAGAACTAATAGTTTTCGGAAAGTATTCAAAAGACTGAGATTGTACTTGTGCAATTGATAGTAATATTAACAGTCAGACCAATATCAATGTACAGTAAAGTTCTGCTTATTAACTGATTATATGTATTTATGATTAGATTTTTAGAGAGGTTAAAGGTTGCATTATTAACCTATTTCATTAGAATGTATTAAAAAAATAGAGACATTAAAAGGAAATATGAAAAGGAACCTAACAAAACGTAACAACAACTCTATCCACGCAACAAAAGACAGTAAAGAAAAAACAGTATTTTTTTTAGTACTAACACCGGAAATAAAATAGTACCCAGAGCAATGAACAGACCTGGGATATGGAAGACATTACTCTTGGAGAACGAATTTGAGAATTATTGCCAAATATAGAGGGAAAACAAAAGAGCCTTACGACTAACAACTATTGCGTTATAATGATCTGAAAACTTCATGTTCCCTCTAACCAAGTCCTTTGTATTATATCTCACAATTTGACAGCCTATCAGTGGCGAGGCGTCCACATAACTCGATTGCCCCGGCATTGCCTGAAATTTTCCATGTATTATCAAAAAACTGTACTAGACAGCGCGCCTACCCTACCATTTGAAAAACTTATATTCAAAATTTCAAAATATTCAGTAGCAAACGCGTAGTAACCTGTCCTTGATAATATGGAGTACTATTAGCTTTCTAATAAATCTCAAACAATCACAGCGCGCGCTCCAAGTGAAGCCGGCTCCTTCCCGGTTTCTATTTCTTTTTCATTTTAAAAACCTACGCGTTTACATCAAAATACACGCACACATTTGCAAACTCTGTTGTAAAACATTGGTAAAAATGGCGGCCGATTAGTCAAAAATGAACATAAAATGTAGTATTTATTTATAAATGCACCATCAACTTAAAACAATCTTGGAAATAAGCATACGTTCACCATACAAGGTGCCAAGTCGCTAAAGATGTATAAGGCACTAAAAATTGAGAGTTAGCCAATATGATACAAAGAATAATCTAAAATAATAATAAAAAAAAAATTAACAATTACAATTATCATTGATTTAAGGATGAAACAATTGCTTGCATATGCGAATAAACTATTTAGTGTTCCCTACATGAAAGATGT